GAGTACCAGTTGAAAAAAGTAACTTTTAAGAGGAATCGTGATGCAAATGCTTGACATTACTGTATACTAAACTGTATATTACACTTCTTTCCCCCTTGTATATCTGCCAAAAACAAACAACAACAAAAAACAATAAAATGTAAAACAAATAAATCATAATGAATTTATACCAAGGCTTGTGGGTAAAGCAGAAATCCTTGTTTTTTCTGAATGCATTTGGCATTAAAATAACAGATCTTTAAATCATTAACAATAGTAAAAGAAACCATTTCCTATGCAACTACAGTGTAATAAGAGATTGACTAAAAGGAACGGCAGAAGACTGAGATATCTGGGCATGGTAAAAAGAAGCATTTTTGACCAAAAAAACACAACTATATTTCAATACCTAAGAAGCTTGGCATCAGCTTTTGAAACATTTTATGCAGTTTCTATTTTACTGCTTGTATTATGGATGCATAGCACAAATCAGGTGAAATAATTAAACATAAGCCCATACTCCCATTGTTCAACCTCACCTACACTCAACAGCTAGAAGGTGGAAATAGGGAAAAACTGGTGGTTCCAGCAAGAAGATGATCTCAGACACTTGAAAATGAAACACTAAAGAATTTTCAGCTGTGCTGATAACAAATCCAGTAAAAAGAGCTCTATTTCTCTATTAGGAAAGGTTTTTACATATTCAACAGGAATGAAGACGGAACCTTTTGCATAGAGACAGAAAGTGTGTGGTTGAAGTGAATTTGTGTGTCAATCTCAACACCTGCAATGGTTTGTATAGTTTTGAATGAAATAGAGAAATCCAGTCTGTATTAGAAAAAATCTTTGATTAAATTTAGATGCAATAATATTTATTGGTATTTACAGGTCCATTCAAATTTCTTTTAAAATGGCAAAATGGCTGTACATCTCTCATAGCGATAAAAAAACCCCTCATTAATCTCCATACATTTTCTCCTTTTTCCTATTCAGAACATTTCTAGCGATGAGGTTTAATATGGGTTTTTATTAAATGTAAACTGGAGATGCATTTCTTTAACTAAATTACAGGTACACAAACAGAGGCTTCTGTGTGCTGCACACATTTTAAATCTCCCCAGGGGCAAACCAAGGATGTTTGGCTTTTTAAATGAAACTGACATGACATGATTTAAGGGGCTGCTTTCCAGCCTACAAGAGCTATTGAGAGACGGAGATCCAGTGTAATTTCCCACAAATCCACCTTCCATCTTAATCCTTGAAAAATTTCTGAATTATCCTTCCTAAATAGGGAGAAAATGGGTTATTTGATTAAACTGTGATCCACTTAGTCCTTTGATTCTGAACAAGAAAAGCAGAAAATAAATGCCTTTGATATCTTTATCAAAGGAAACAAACATGCTTCTACCGCATCTAAGCACTTCAGTATAGCTCTACACAAGGGCTTTGAGCTAAAAGTAGTATTTTGACCTGAAAGTTGTAACAGCTCATCTTGATGAGTATTAAGTGTCCTAGAAGTCCATCAGTGCTGCATAAAATGTCTTGGGCCAAAGCATTTATAGTAGCCTAATGATTGTGCTATATTAAAACAGACAAATGCCTATGGGAGACTTAAAAAAATACCTTTACTGAAGTTAATTGGACTCCTTCTATTGTCAGACTGTCATATTCCAGTCACAAACCAACTGTGCAGCACTTTGCTAGTGTACACAAACCATTTTGCAATCTTTACATCTCTTAATGGTGTTTTATTGGTGTTGTATGTAGAAATACACAAAGTAGAGCAAACATGTAAGGTGGAATAAGCATGATGCTAAGAAGTGAGGCATGCATTAATATTTACCCCCAACTTACTTTGAATAACTGATCAAAAGTGCAGTTACAACACAGCAGCAAGACCTGCCTGGAGATCAAGGTGTAAAACTCTTTTTTTTCTTTGCAAAGTTGTAAAAGTTAAGTTAGAATTCATGGAGATCGACTTTACAATTTTACTTAAAATCTTCCAACAGACTATTTTAAAAGTGAACTTTAACTGGGCCTAAAAATGGAACAGATCCAAAGTCATAAGGTGACTAGACTACAGTCTTTTGGAGCCTGAATGATTTTCTTCCACTTTCTCCCTGTATTAAGCTTCACCCATCCTCTGAATAAATCACATCAGTTCATGTGTTCCTTCTGAAAAAAAGCTTATAATGATATTATAAGGGTATCAACCGTTGGTTTTGGCTAATATTGATCTGATCACTAACGGTTAACTGTAGCAGTTGAATTGTATCCTCATATGGCTGGTCATTACTTAATTGTGACCAAAAGAGAAAAGGTAAGTGACATTCCAGCTTATCTAGACACAGGTTAACAATGTTCTCTAGTTCACACTATTGATTCCATTACATGTGCACTATTAAAATATCAAAATTCTCCTGTGAGGTGACATAACTATAGGTTTCACAGATTTTATATCTATAAAGCATATTTTCAACACACCAGCATACCTCGCCAGACGGATAACAGTGGGAAGGTCTGTGGGGTTCTGCATCTACAGTGTCTTGGGTGAGCCCCTCCTGGCCCATTACCACAGCTATCTCTACTGTTGGCCTTTTATGGTTGCTTTCACTACATAAACCCCCACAGAAACAGTTGGTTTCTTCTTTCCGATATGGATATTGTGTAGAATTCAAATTGAACTTCATGTATCGCCAGGTCAGTGCCCAGCTACTTTAACTAAAAGAAAAAAATATATCACATAAACGATGGGCCTCACCTTACATGGACACTAAGTCCATGACAGCATCCATAAGCCTAAATTCAGCAGCCAACTGGGATATCCTCTAAATTCATGGGTAAGCCTGTTTTCACTTGCATAGAGCACTGAAAAACGTGTTTAGGAGGCAACTGATAGATAACCAGTAGTACCTCCTTCATGAGAACTCCAAAGAACAACTGTTTTTATATTTAGGAGTAAATTATAAAGTGTTTGGCTGTCTTCACAACTATGGTGATGTCTGAAGGTAAGGAATTATTAATTAAGGAATTTCAGAGTAAAGAGACTTATATCCAAGTTAACCTTTTTCTTTAATATAAAATAAGCTAAACAAAATGTAAACTTAACCAATTCTACAGCTATTAAAAAATCATTACTAGATTCACTGGAGCTTGTGGTTATAAGGTAATAAATGTGAACAGGTTGGATGTATATGAAAGACAATCTATATATTTATATGAGATGTTCCTTTAAGATGATTTTAAAAACACACTATCCTGACTTACCAGACTTACCATTGTCGTATGCCAAGAATGTAGCTTCATACATGTTGTTTTTGACATAAATGGACTCTCTGTCTAACAGGGACATGGTGGTAATCTGACCATTGGTCCTGTTGATCTTCAACCAGTTAGCTGGATCTGACAGCTTAGAGTACCTGCATGTAAGACAACAACAAAAACAACAACAATAGTTTAATTGTGTTAAAAACAACAAGCACATTTTCCATTTGATGACTTTTGTAGCTTATTATCACCTGAATACCGACAAGTCTGAAGCTTTTATTTGCTGATGGAGAGTGGCCATTATCAGCTTGAATGCTTATTACTATAACAAGCTATAGCCACCGAGCCCTTTTAAAGCACTGAAGTGACACGGAGAGTGGAACATATGTTCGTCAAACATATGAAGGCAGCAGCTCATTAGCATGAAGAGCCAAGAAAACCCTGGGCCCATTTGCGGAAGAGCTCGTAAACACTCCCCTGCTCTATGTAACCACATGGCGATCGTCACTGTCATCGGCAATAGCTGCTTTCCTTGAAGCTGAAAATAACCACTCAGATTCACATTTACAAATCTCATTAAAGCAGATAATAACTTCCAACAGCTGATCAAGTGTGCAGAGTCAGTCGGGTCTAACGAGAAATACTTAATCGTGAGTCGCACCAGACGGTCAGAGTGTCGCCATGATGACAAGAGATGGGTTCAAAGAGAGAGAAACTAAAAGAAAAGGGGTCAGACGGAGATCACAGGCGAGTTTATCTGTAAACACGGGCAGTGGAACATGACAGGCATGAAAAAGGAGTTTTAATTAAAGGAGAGAGAATCGAAGGCTGACGGCGGTTAGCCAGAGCTGTGCTTTCAGTCAGCAAGCTGATATCACCTCCAGCTATAGCCTTATTGTTTCCAATGTTGCCAGCTCCTCAGCAAGGAAAATTACCATTGGCTGCCCTAAAAGTTGCTCGAAGTCGGAAGATTATTTCTATTTTGATCCTTTAATCCAGGTAGTAGGAGTATAATAAATTACAAATGAACTTTGTGCAATAATTCAATATTTTTATGGATTGATTACTGCTTTACTTAAACCAAAACTACTATCAATCTTGATCTAACACACAATCGATAAGAATAATAAAGCTGTGTGTGAATCAAATGAGTGGAATAAATTCAGTGCAACATTTTTGGAGAAAAAAAACAAAACTTTAAATTATATGTTATTCATCTGATCAGTGGCAGCTTTGCACATTCTGCAGGATTAATGCTTGACAACAATAATTAAAGTTTTTTGGGTTTTTGTAAATTTGCGAAGCGTAGCTTAGCTCCTTAATTGCTGAGAGGCCATTTTTCCCATACTCATTCCATTGATAATGACTTTATGCTGCTAGCTTCAGCCAGTATGTTCTTCTGGTCTTTTGCTTATCTTCTGGGGTTAAAAGGCAAACATTGCATTAAAACAGGGTCACCTTGGAAATAGAGAGCCTGCCATCCTTCTGAAAACTGTATCCAAGGCTTAAAGTACATATGGAGAGCTTAGGTTATTTTTACTCTACAATGGCAGATTTCATTAGATCTTTTTTTCCCCAGGATGTCACATGGGCCACTCGGTGGTGTGTTGGATGTGTGATCCTAAAAAAAAAAAAATTACCTAATGTTTCGCTGTTTTGCAAAATTTTTGGATAAACCATCAAAAGTTTTCACAGTTTTCTTGGTTTTTCCAGATTGTTTAAAAGCAGGGGAGTGGTAGCCTAGTGGTAGCTTGAAATCCAGAGGTCCTGAGTTCAAGCCCCACTCCCATGGACTGACACTCTGGCTCCCTGAGCAAGACCCTTAGCTGCACACTGCTCCCCGGGTGCCACACAATAGCAGCCCACTGCTCCCCAAGGGAATGGGTTAAATGCAGAGAGTTAATTTCTTTGCTTTCTACTTGTGATCATGTAATGACGATAAAAAGTTGAATTCTATTCTATAGTATTCCGACTGGATGTTAACACTTGACTTTATAAAGACTAAGAAAAATACCTAATATTATTCTGTCATTAAGCAAATTAAACTGTCAGACTCTAAGAAAGAGAACATGCTTTAGCTGCTTTTAAATGTACAGTGGCTAAAAAGAGAAATAGGTTGCTTTGCTTTGCTGTAAAATCTTGTGGTGCTGTTGCCCAGCAGGTACAATTTAGCTCTTTGTGCCGCACTGCCTCCCCCCAACCCTAACCCCCGCCCCCCCACCCCACCCCATACCCCTGCTGCTCCTGTTTACAGCCAGTACAGTGAAATGCCATACTGTACCTCAGAGGACCCTGTTCAAGAAGCAGATTATTCATCTTTGAATTCGCCCACCTGGTTGCTTTCCATAAATTTAAAACGCTAGTAAAATGAGCAAATGTCATACTGTTCTTGGAACCTATTGAACTTTTTCATGGTTTGCCATTTATTTTACTCCTCTCAGTACTTTATTTCAAAACGTCTTACAGGGATTTGATTTGATCTACATTTCAGTAGCGTTGCATTTTCAGTTTATAAACCAACAACAATACAACACAGAGGAGACAAAATGATACAAAGTTTTCAGAAACTTTCAGCAAATAAACTGACTTTATTCATTGGATATTAAAATGATAAAATTTTGTATTTTTCATAATAATTCGCTTGAATCCATCTTCCCATAAAGACATATGTTAGTGGCGGAATCATGCTGTTTAGAAACCTTTTGAGCTCCAGGAAGAAAGTTCATGAGCGCAGCAGAACGGTAGGGAAGTCCTTGATGAGAAGCTGTTCTAAATGAGTCAGGTATGGGGCAGAGGCTCACCTCCCAGCAGGCCAAAAAATATATACCTTCAAACTTTTCTTAAAACGTCAAAAAAGTTACATTTTTGTCCCACTAACCTGTTATACATATTTTGTTCTGATTTATTACATAAATTCCAATAAAATACATAAAAGTGGTGAAATGCGAAAAGGTTCAAGTGCTTTGCAAGTCGCCGCATGCAAAGTCTGCATATCCATCTGCCAGTCAAAGATACAGCACATGTTATCCAGCCTACCAGCTTTAAACTAAGATCTCTCTAAGTGAATTATCTCCATCATGATCTTAAACCCCAAACAAATGTCCTCACTCTGCAAAGGCTAATAATCAACACTTACAAGAAATACATAAACACACACACACCAACCCACATTTACTCGGTCTTGCTGCCTCTTAAATCCCATCAAACAGTAAAATCAGCTGGCAAACAGTCTTGGATTCACATAATCTTGTTTTCTCTTTTCTCCAGGGAGAGGGAGCGAGTGAAAAAAAGGCAAGAAATTCAGAAGCATAAAACAACCAAAGCTGGCTCCTCTCCCATCCACGATGCAGGGCTTTCAGTCATGCTCTGCGGGTAATCGCCTGCATGTCGGTGGTGTGCATCTAGCAGCCTGTGTTTGTGGATTTCTGTCTTTTGTGCGCCAAGGTTAAAGCGAGGTTGCCTAAAGGGAATACAGGAGTAGAGACTATGCCGCCTTGAGCTGAACGACTGCTGGCAAAACTCCTGAGGAGGAGAAAGCAGCTCTGAGCTCACATCAATAAGAGACGCACAGACTGACAGAGAGGAAAATGAGGGGGTCAGCGGGAGGGAGCAGGAAGTAGCAAAGAGAGAAAAGAGAGTACAGTATATGAAAAGTAACTTCTTTCAAAGGGCAGATAAGCTCAGGCCTGCCTGGTTTGCACAAAGAAAAGTTGGAGGTACCTCTCACACATGAGTACACTTCCTCGTTTCACCTCTCTTTCTGTCAGTACAGTAAGATTTCTACCAGGTTTCACAGAGGACACGGCTGCCCCCCTGACATTAAGAAAAATCCATCTGTGTCGCTTGTGCTGGTAGTGGAACAGTAAAGCTGGACTTTAGTGGGCATGTGGGAGTTTCTGTCATGCAGGGTCGATGCTGGGATGGCACCATCCCCGCCGCGTGTCGCCCCGGTTAGGATGGCAGGGATCAATGAAGAGGAAGGAGGGGATCCGGGGAGGGCAGACCGACATCGTCCAGCTCGTTATAGAATGACCTCTTCACACTGGTCGCCTGGCAACTAAGGTGGGTAAGTCACTGATATGTGGGTGGGAGATTGGCGGATAATGTTGCATAATAGATTCACGTTGTGAAGAAAACTTTCAGTTCTGATTAAATGCCTGCAAAACTATATTATTGAGGATTTATATGGAAAGTGCACAAAATATAGGAAATATTTACTTCAACTGAAAAGGACCCTTATTTGAGCGACTGCTTTAATAAAGAGGTCAAAAACGGCTGTTTATGTAACCAACAGACAGAAAACTTAAGGCCAAATATTTGTTACAGATTGTTTGATCCTATGTCAGAAAATAGGCATAATTTAGTTTTAAAGTGGACTAGAATCATTTGCTTTAATTCTTCAGAAGCAGTCTTGATCCATTGATATATACCTTTTTTTATTTATTCTGGAATAATGTTGTAAATTTTCCAATTTTGCATTAAATATTCATTTTCATTCACTTAAAGCTACAGTGTGTACATCTAACGTCCAGACTGCAGACCGCAGCAACATGAACATCTCTCCCCCACCGCTTCTCCCCCCCAACAGTACGGCGAGCGTTACAGGACAAAATGTCTTCCACGACGTCCGCATCACCTACCTTCTCAAGTGATGAGGTTTGTTTACATAGATAATTTTACAGATAGTATTTCATTAGTCTGTGTGTTCAGTACCGTCTCAGTTCATCTCTCTCTCTCAACTTGCCGTAGTTACTTTCGAGCGTAATGGGCGATCTCGCAATCGCTAGTTTGTTGGCTCTGCGCTGCCGTAGCGCAAAGATGTCTGCCTCCATGGCTGCGAGACCCGCTCCTATGTAATTATAAATAACGAATTCTAAGGCAACGCAAATATTAAGGTTAAGAGGCCGAGCTCGTAGATGATGATAAATAACATAGTTATGTATAATATATTACATTTCTGACTGTATATCCCTGTAATTATTACACACTGTAGCTTTAAAGAGACACAATGTAGTTTTCTAATGATACTGCCACCTGTGGCCAAAACACAGAACTGCAGCACGATGTGATTCATTCTTGTAGCTCGCCCTTGTTTTTAATGAAAAGAATTAATAAAAAAATCCAGCTGAGTTGAGCTGGATGCCTGATGCTTCTGAGTACCCAAAAAGTCCATCTTGAATGTAACACTACAATTTTTTGCTTGGTTGGTCCCATTTAACTTGGACGCACTTGACATCACATCCACCAAACAGCGCCGGGAATTTCCAACCCAAAGTACATTCAGGTATCAGTCTGCTCATTAAATTATGTTCTATACTCATAAGGTCACATAAAAAGGCTATTTTAAAGATATTTTTCAATAAGAACTTCAATAAGAACTTCAATAAGAAGTCTTTAATTTCTCTTTTTATGTCTCTTTAAACAAAGGTGCACCAACAGCGCCTTTGTGGAGTTACTGCATGTGTCATTAATAAGCTCTGTCAGTTAACATACCACAACCAAGGGCTAACAGTAGTTGATTGTAACACACTTTTACACTGAACCTAAACTGACCTCTATGCTCAGATCTGATACATATGAGGGACATAGATACCTTGAAATTGGCAAAGAGTTAGTATTTTGGCAAATCACATTTTTAAATAATTATTAACTGCCTGAAAATATATGTTTTAAATTCTATTCATATATCTTATACCAGAGTTAACAGATGTTAAAAATTCAAAGTATTCAAAATGTATTATGCTGAAGATCCTTTTTTTTTTTAACTCATACCTGACAACCTGATGGATGAAGTGGTCAGGATCCTGCGCAGAAAAAACTGTGAGAGTGGTTCCAGCCGGCACACCCTCCTCAAAACGGATCATTTTGGGGTTGATTGGAAAGACAGGCGGCTCGTTCACATCCTGGACAGAGATGGTGACTCCTGCCGTGGACTGAAGAGAGGACTGAATGCCGCTTGCCAGGTGGGCCTGGTTGGACACCACCACTGTCAGCATGAAGGCACGGTTCATTTCAAAATCCACCGGCTGGAGAAGAGTCCATGGGGGAGAAGGAGATACAGGGAGCGAAGAGACAAGGGAAAGCCAAAAAATCAGTAACTAGCTGCAAGGTGATATGAATCAGTGAGATAAGATTCTGTTAAAATAAAGTATTTAGATATCAACCTGCTGTCAACTCCATCAGTTAAAAGCTACAAAAGTTTAAAGTAATTTATAATTTAACTCATCATGGAGCGTGCAACTGAATAGTAGTAATCTCTACCTTGACAACTGTTAGCATTCCTTCATTGGTGATGGGATTGGTACGAATGGTAAAGTGTCCAGAGGGGTCTCCGCTGACGATACGATAAACCGCGTTCCAGTTGGGGCTGTGCGGCTGATCCCGGTCAACCACTGTCAAGTTGGTGACGACCACGTTCACCTTGTTTTCAGGAACCTCCCCGGAAAACTGCAAAGGAGGCAGAGAGATGGAATATTAGAAAAGGAAGGGACGAGGTAATGATGGCTTGTTTTGGTAGGAGATACATAAGGATGATGTGGCTTTAAAAACTAGAATACTTGTTATAATAATTTGACTTATTTGTACTTGAAATATTTGCTCGCCCCCATAAACGTCCTTAGAGTATTTTATGTGATTGCAGTCATGAAAACAAACTAACCACAACACAATTGGGAAATCAGGAACACACAAAATACAAAAAAAGCACACTTGTTTAAACCTGTATAATAGAAAATTATACCTTCCATTATTCTAATTGAGAGCTTTACTCTGCAGCATATCTGCTTGGATGCAACTCCTTAATTGAACAGATGGATTTTTCAATTAAGTGTTTACCCATTTAATTTGGATTTTGCGCATTAAGGAAATCCAGGTCTTAATAAGTAATTAGATAAGTGCTGTGATTAAGGTGGCAGTAGGAATAATCTTTGGTTAATGATCTTCATTATATTGCAATCTAAAACAACTCTCTTATAAACTAGCTGTGGAAGAAGCTCGGTGACAGCTGCGGAGCCACAAGAGGAATTTACAGCACAACTGACTACATTTATCTAGATTTTAAGGGTCAGCCACTTAAAGGTAGACACATGAAGTTTAAGCTCTCCCTCTTTCACAATAATCCAATTTTCCCATTAGACATTTTAATGTGTCTGCCAGGATTTCTTTTTCACTTCAGTTTGACTTAAACGCTGTTTTAATGCTCTCTTTCCTCTTTTCTCATTTAATTTCCCTCCAACTCTGCTGTCCCCAAAAGAATTTAGTCCTTCAGCTTAACCTTCAAAAATTTTCACAAGTCAGCCTCCCAACATGTAAGATTGTTTAATAGCATCTGGGCAAAAGAAAAAATTATAAAAATGACCTGAAGAAAACTCTGTAAAAAGGAGTCCTTTCACAGAAATAATCTACCAATTTGACCTTGTCTATTCATTTTCTCAGTGGAGAATGTGAAACAGCCGGAGGTGTGGCCAAAGGTTAAAGAGAAATGCTAAACTGCATTTCAACTGCCCGTAAATCTCTGTAAATCTCTTTACCCACTGAAAACATTCTGTTTAGATCAGAGCAGCTAAGGTGGTCAAGATTGTAATTCCTTCCTGAGTCTTACTGCATTCACTGTCACATCTCAACCAATCCGGCAGTAGAACGCCTGGTTGTGCCAGAGGTTTCTTCCCAAATTGGAGTTTTTCCTCTCCACTGTTGCTTAATGCTTGCTCATCATGGACAGGTTCATGCAACCGGTGTTTATTCAAGCTGGAGATCTATCCTCCGGGTCGTGTGAGAAGCACCAGTATCAGCTCACACAGTCTACTGTATCTCACAATACAGCGCAAGCAGATCGTCTGGCCAACCAGCAGTCTATGGACTGAACAAACTTCATCTATCTCCACTCCACCACCAGTTTCAGTCCTGTTCTCATACTCCTGCTTATGCATATTAAAGTAAAATTCAGTGCTAATGTTTCCTGCCGAGGTCTGAGTGGCAAATAATTGTATCAATAAAATTCTTCTATTTGTCTCTTTCTTTCCCTGTGAGTTTTTCATATTGAAACACAGCTAATTCCAATGGTTAAATTAACATGTTATTTACAAGGTTCTGTTACTGAACCCTTCATTTGACTCAGATGTGTTGAATCAGAGTAAAATCTAAAAGATACAGACCCTTGAGAATGAACATTTAAAAAAATGCTTGGTTAGATTGAAGATCCAAGGATAAGTACTGCATCTAATTCTCATACCTTACAGAAAGACATCTATTCTTAAGATATTTCTAGGAAGAAATATTCGCTTCCTTGTGCTTTAACATTACACTCAAATGTTAATAAGAAAAATATGCCTAATTTCAAAAGATTGAGGCAACAAAACTGAAGCATATTTTTACAAGATAAGCTATTAGCATTATAATTAAACCGAGTGCAAGCTGGTGGTAATCTGTGGGAGAAGAAAATTTGAAAAAGTAACAAGATAGGGGGTCACAAAAGCACCCTATGACAGGACTCCTCTATGGAAACAAATATTGCTGCGATGGTTCAGAAAGGGCATCATATGGTCTGGAGAGGAAGCTCTCTGTTTTTCTCTATTTTCTTAAATCATTCCTTTATCTGCTGTATTTGTGGCTACAGGTCAGACATCTGCAACCTTTCCTAAGAGAAGGGAACACCTGTTTAAATTCTCCTGTAATAAATAGGAGGTTTTTACATCTACATGTATGTAAGGCATTCTGTGTCATGGATCCAGCTAAGAAATACAGCAGATGGGACAAAGTAAAAAAAAAAAATAAAAAAAGTATGGCAGACTGTCAGCTTTGTTAATTTTTCTCTCAGAGTAAATTGTTGTTCAAAATAAATAAATAATTAAGGGTATCTGCAAAATACACATCTTCCTCCAGTACATAACTACACTTCTAATTTTATTAGCCAAAATTAAGGACAATGCTAGTACTTAAGGTAAAGTAGTTTGGGGATAATATTATAGAAGGACCATTTTTGAGATAACAAAAGTGTTTTAAGATAAAACGATGAGCTATTGATTGCTTGTTTAACAGTGGAAAGTCTTATTTATGCAGTTAATTATTCTGTTGATGCTGTTTTGATTTGCCCAACACATAATGTGAAGTTTTACTTAATTTTATTATCTTAAAAGCTACAACAGAAAAGATTTATGACGTGTTCTGAGACATGAAATAGAAGCGTGATTCCGTCTGATGCTCACAGTTTTTGTGCGTTGAGACTAAAATCTCTCACTGTCACATTTGTGAGCCCTGCCATTGTTCTTTTTAAGGGCCTTGTTTCATTTTTCCTTACATCTTGAACTGGGTTTTAAATTCAGTTCAAAGGAGAAAGTAAGGCTACAGCGCTTCACATAAATCTATTGCAGTGGTGCAGGGCACAACAGATGAAATCTACCGGCTCAGACCCACACTGAATAAGAAAATGAAAAGGTTTGACGCTCTGCAATACTAAAGAGTTCATCCTTTCTAGCATGAAGAAAGATGCCATAAAGATGAAGCTGCTTCTCCTTTGTTTTTAAACCAGACTGAACCACATCTGATTAGCAAGTTAGATTTAGATTTTTTTTAGTAGAATCTCACAGCCCTTCTGCTTCCTTCTTATGATTATCACCATTAATGACGCAATGACAAAAAGGTTGTAAGGCAGCTCTTTAAGGCAGATGCAGGGAGCTGAAAATGCACAGTTACCTTTTCTTTTCATCAAATTAGAGGGGAAAAATAAGCCATGTTTACACCAGGTCAAGTAATTTCACCTAATTAACATGCACATGTTTTCTCTTTTCTCCCATTCCATCAGAAGCCAATAAATTCATCCTTCCTGTGCCTGTTTAAAAAAAATAATTACTGAACTGTTCCAAGCTGCGCTGTTTGTGTGGGTAGGAAAAAAAAACAAGTAAGAGAAAAACGACAAAGCAGTGGAAAAAGCAAACAAAAACAGGATTTGACTCATTTTTACTCATTACCATATCTGAGTCACACACCATTAAAAGGGAACCAGTCTTTTAATACCAACCTTGTTATGGTTTTTTGAGTGCGAACAATCGCTTGCAAAGGTACTTATCTGTGGATTTTATTTTATTTTTTTACATTCAGTGATGTTACAGTCTCAAACTTTTATATATTTGATTTTGTGTGAGATCTCCTAAAGTTAGCCAATAATAGAGGTTATAAGTAGGAACAAAAATTATATATATATATATATATATATATATATATATATATATATATATATTCCAACTGTATTCAGCCAGTAGAGTAAATATGTGGAATCAACTTCAATATAATGGCATCTGAAATTTTGTCTCTACCAGCACATAAAGATATCTACAACATGTCTCAAGCTCAGTCTGATTATTTGGATAGTGCATTTTGCAGCCTTTAAAACATTTTCTCCCAGGGCTGCCCTGTTTCTAAGCTCCATCCATCTTTTTGTGAGCTCCCAGTCATCTTCTCATCAGCCATCTACTATGTAGTTTATTGAAGCACACAGCTTATCTAAAGCTGAAAGAAAGAGGTCAGATAAGCTCATCATGACAACAAGCTCCATCTTAGGATAACCTCTGACTCGTGCAGGCTGCAAGGTTGTGAGATACATGCCGGTAAAAATAACAACAGTGTTGACAACAACTCTGACCCCATGCATAAAGCTGTGCAGCTCCTTCAGTGACAGACTGCTGCATCCTAGGTGCACAAAGAAACGTTATGGCAGATCCTTACTCCTAGCAGCTGTTACACTTTATAACCATCACTGTTCCCAACAAACTTAATACCAAATTGTTTGGCAGCAAGAAGGTTCTGGGTTTGATTCCCGGGCAGGGGTCTTTCTGCATGGAGTTTGCATGTTCTCTAGCATTTAGCACATTAACAGTAATCTCAGTATTTGTGTGTTTTTTTTCTATTCTCCCTTAACACTGGAGAGCATGAAGACAGTGTTTCACATTATCTTATATGGATTGAATGGCATTTACAAATAACTTCCTTGGTCAAGTAACTTGTCTTAGACTGATTTCCTTACACTATTTTAAGTTAATGTATTCTATTCTATTCTATTCTATTCTATTCTATTCTATTCTATTCTATTCTATTCTATTCTATTCTATTCTATTCTATTCTATTCCTTTATGAGTTTTACTGATCCCTAACATTTTCTTGCAAATGTTAGGAATCAATAAAAGCAGAGAACAGTTGGGTTTATACTGTTAATTGTGAAAAAAAATGCATGCATTCTTCCGCTTCAGAGTTATGCGCTGCTTTGTGTTGGTTCTGTTAATAACACCCCAACAAACTCAATGTCCTGCAGACATTGTATGGATGCGCAGGTCTTATTGCATATTTGCAGCCTTTGGGCTTTAGACTGTTGAGCCCATTATGAGACTTCTCTGTGTTAAGGCATGAGGGGCTCAAACCTATTGAAACACACCAAGTCCAGTTCTGAAAGAACAAGTATGCCTGTGGGTTCAATTCTACCTCTTACAGCAGGGGGGCTTTAATCAGACCATGCGGTGAGCACTGCACCAGCACACTGGCGACGATCCCACCAAGGAGACGGGGATCACAGTGCCCAACCAAGACACACATGCTCACTCTGCAGCAGCCACAGCGTGCCTGTCTTTTAAATCTCTGACATCCAGCTTACAACGAGCAGCCACAAGAGTATATTAGATCTATCAGACTTGTCAGCATTTGATTCTGCTTTATCACACTGGAGGTAATAAAAAATGCAAATCTTTATAAACTGAAAGAGCCCAACCTCTTAATACTGCTTCCTCATGTAAATCTATCTCAGCTCATAGTTCTCAGTGCAAAGAAAGCAGCCTTAAGGTGTCAGAGCAAAGTAGATGTGCCAGGGACAGAGACCAGATGCTTACAGACAAACCAAACTGAGGCTAAGCAAGCAGACAGAATACAAAAGTAGAGAAAAGGATAATTTTCATCAGCATCTATACTTAACTACGTTTTTTTTCTTACAATATTCCTTAATTACATATGTTTTCAGTGTATTTCTACACATAGAATCTGTTAGCTGCATTACTTTCTTAAGCTTACCCCAAATAATAACAACTTATCAGTTTGTAAAGTTTTCAAATAAATTAATATTAAATGTCAAAAGAACAATCCGTCTAAGAAATGAAATCTTTAATGTGAGAATGTTTACGTTTTTCTTATAAACCCCTAAGAAATCACAGTTTTTAACAAAAACAGATGGTGCTATTGTCGGGACAGTTCTCTCAAAATAGAGTAAACCTTTTTTCATTCTCACTTTAATTGAATTTCTAATTACCTCATATTATTCTGTTTCCCTCGGGTACAAATATGATGTGACACAGAAGTTCACTTTCTTTTAGTTACAGTTCAGTAGAGTGGATGAGGAACCATATGTATCTGGCACAGTGAGCAGGATGGTAAGATGCTGGAGGGAAAGAATCTCATACATTTATTTTCAGGGAAATAAATATAAACATAGGGAGATAGCTAAAAGTTACTAGGATTTTAATTAGAGTTGAGTACTTCAGTCAGATTCAAAGAAGATTGAGTGTTTGTTTTCAACAGAATTAATCTTGCAACAAAGTGTGAATAGGTAGAATACCAGTTAATATTAACTGCGAAGTATAGTGTAGGATTTGTCATGCTGTGGGCCTGGTTCTCTTCCAAAGGCTCTAGAAACCTTAAGTTTATGGAAATTGCAAACTCCAACACTTCAAGTAAAAGTGTTGGCCTCTAGTAGCAAACTGAAAATAGGTCACCACAGAGTCTTTCAAAGGGATGATAATAAATGGCAAAATTACCACAGAAATGCACATAATCAACCTAAACTTAACTCTCAGTTCATAGACTCTAATCCTGTAGAAAAATACAACAAAGTTAAACCCTGTTTAGAGACAATATAAAGAAAAAAAGTTGAATATCCTTTTCTTTGTGTAACAAGAAGTTACAATTTTGAGTAATTATTACATTTTTTACACTTTCTTCATGAAATAAGTGCACAAAAAATAAAGTTTTGTCTTTAATTTCAGTTCATTTACGACACATATTTACCAAAAGGTAAATATGCAACAAAGTGCAAGTGCAAGTGGTCACATATTTACCTTTAAATATGCGACCAGCACTGCACTTGAGACAAATAATATGTTCAGATTAGTTGATCTTTAATCTATATGTTTGTTCTGTATTTCTTGATATTTATTTTTAATGTTTAAAAATATTTTATAAAGGCTAAAGTGGTTTATTTGTATTTTGTGTTTTATTCAACTATGTTTGTGTCTTATCGTTATGGTAGTTTTCTGTTTTTGTTGTTGTAAGGTTTTTTTTAAAGAATAATGTAATTGTAATGTTTGTGGTATGCACCCCCAGATGAATAGTCTCCACTGATGTAGAGACTAAATAAGAGCCGTACAAAAACGGAAATAAAAGAAAATACACACAAAATTTTAAAGGCTTTTGTAAGTTATGTTTTAGGGGTGTAAATGGTACTTACCGTCCTGACTGTCAGTTCTGGTGGATTGTCGTTGATGTCAGTGATAGATATGAGAGCTGTAGCTGTGTTGGAGAGCCCAAAGTTTAGATTGCCCTCCATATCTGTGGCTTGGACAATAATGGTGTACTGGGACACTTTCTGTGAACAGAAACAGAGAGGTCATGCTCAGAGATCGGTGATCCTGCAATAAATAACAGCCGGTAAAATGAACCTTCAGTCTCTCATGTATAACTTGAACTGTACATCGGTAAATTCTGCATAACTTAAAGCCTTGCACTGCACACCGATAACCCTTTCATTCAGGAACTAACTGTTCACTGGGACAACAGTCTAAATGGAGCACCTCATTTGCTCAATACCCCACAGCAAACAGCACAATAAACAAAGACAAACACACAAAGTTAAAAAGAGGAAACAAATAATTGGAATAAGGCCCATTCATTACTGTCTGCAAGTCTTGGCTTTCTGCTGTGGAAATAGAAATGGGTCATCATTCATTTTAATGAAGGTGGCACCACCTTAAGATGCACGGGAGAGCTTTAGATAATGAAAGGAGGTGAAAGGGCTTTATTTAGTCTAGTTACTTTGAAGGGGAGTGTTTCTAGAGTGTGCTGCATCGTGGGCCGCATTATAATGTCACATTTTTGCCTATTGTTTCTGTCTTGAAGAAAGGCATTTATCGACAGCCTGAGAGGTGAACTGTTCTGTGCTCTTCAGGTTTTCATGCACATCCCACTTTTTGCAGAACTGTAGTTTTGTTTCAGAGTGGATCCGTTCCTTTAGATATCAACATGAAAGATGCCATTTTAAACACTGGGAATCACAAATGTTAATCTGCAAAAATAAAAGAAACAAAAATAAAAAAAACCCTGCTCTTTCCACTTGAGGCAGCAAATGTCCTTACAAAGAAAGTCTGCAAAAATTTAAAAGTGGTAACAGTAGAAGAATCCTTACTATATAGTGTGATTTTATGTTACTTCTGGTGTTATATACTTCAGTACTTAAGAACTTAGTAATTACTTCCCCTCCACTCATGTGTGGTAAGAAAAAAATATATTTTTTAAAAAGGAGATATGCAGGACAGACTTTTGTGACAGACTGCTGACCTGTTCAGGATGTACACCTCTTGCTCAATGACAACTGGAGGTATACTTCCCTTTAACACAAAAACATGCACCCATACACACAAGGAACTTGCAACCCTAAATGCTGATGGACCATTCATGAAAAAAATTGATTAATTGCTGAAAAAACTAAATTCCTTTACTCTTCTATCATAAAGGAGGCAGAACAGAATTTTGAAACTTATTATAATTCATTGCTTCATTCTGGTTGTTAAATTTGAAAAATTGAATGACCTTATCGGCTGCAGATTTAATAAATCTATTTGATTACATTACACTTCAATGGGATTGTGGTATTTTATTAAAAGAAGCAAACCAGCTTTATTTATTAATTCTGAAATGTATGCTTAAAGTGGCTGAACAGGACAATATCAGTCAAGGCATAACCCTCCTGCTTAAAGTGACATGCTGAATTTTTTCTGGCAGTTTGAGGAACTTGGGAGATTTTTTGTCACGGTGAGAGAGATTTCCTCTTTTTTTTCTCAAGAAATATCAAGTGTAAAGACACTATCTAGAAAGGCTTAACATGAGAGGTATGATGATGCCTAGTCTTTCAACTTACAAGTGACCTACATATCCAAGAGAGAGGCTGCTGTTGCACATCATCTAACTGATGGCTGAGTCAGTAAAACTTCTGGCCCAAACAAACAGGACTGGGCTCTTAGAAGTGTGTTTGTCTGTTTGTATTTCCTGAAAAGACAGTTGAGATCAGCAAGTTCCCCATCATGGCCGGTCACAATAACAACTTATCCCTGTGTGACCTAGATAAACAGAGCTTTCTGACACATGTGACAAGAGGTAGAAGCATCTGACCATCTGTAAGGTGACTGCATGGCTGAAAGAACTGTGTGCCAGGGTCCTCTGTCCACCTGACGTAGGACTCCTGCATCAACTTTAGATATTATGTTTTTAGGAAGAAATGGTACATTTACAACCTAGCTTAAGGCGGCTTCCTCTATGCCATCTAGTTGGTGTGAAACTGAATGAGTTGAGATGGTCTGACAACTGAAGAAATATTAATTTTTTCAATCTACCTTCTTTTTGGCTTAGTGGGTTAGAGCAGTGCGCTTATGCTGTGAGAAGGTTGCAAGTATCCCATTCGACTCCCACTGTCTCCTCTCTGGGTTCCTGAGCAAGACCCTTATAACCCCAGATTGCTCCCCGGGTGCTGCATAATGGCAGCCCACTGCTCCCCAAGGGAATGGGTTAAATGCAGAGGTAAATTTCTCCAACGAGAGCTCAATAAGTCCAATTGTTATAGAATTAAATTCAAATAAAAATGAGAACATTTCCCTTGGAGCTTCTTAGGATCCAATACACAGAATGAAAGAGTTTAATCAGTCAAACAGCTACAATTTAAAAGTCCAAGTATTTTTTTAGAGATTTAGAATTTCATTTGTAGCAGCACTGAAGTGCTTTTTAAAACATCCTTTTTTTCTCAATTTATAATCTGGAGATGCAACAGAATTGTTGATTGACAGGTTTTGAAAAAGTAAGCTATTTGATGTCTAGGAATATTTACAGTGAAATTATTTCAAATTTTTTAGTGAAGATATTCTCGTTTGTAAGTCTAATGGTGGGAACGGTGGGATTCCGTTTTCACCTGTGTATGAGTGCATGTGATTCAGTGGTATCATCACAGACAAAAATATTTTATGATATGATCTGACAGGTTCAAAAGTGTTATAAAATTCAATGTCAGACATTCATTAATTTACTACATACCATGATCTTGTTTAACAGATCTGCAATTAGTTGAAAGAATAGATTTTATCAAAAAAAAAAACCTATTTTGATGTAAATACAATACAGTAAAAATACTTTAAGATGTTTAATTTTAAAACAATTTCCGTACAATGGCATGTTTTTTTTAACAGTGCATTGCATTTTGAATAAATGACCTTTACGATTAGGTCCATGTGGCCACAACAGCAATGAGTAATGTTAAACCGTTTATACTGGAGGGTCTAGAAATGTATAAAAATGTGGGATTTAAAATAAAGGAATGAAGATGAGGAGGAAGTGGGGACATTTGGCAGAAGAAGCTGCTGTTTCGGCTTCTGCAGGATGGAGAGCTATGCTACAAAGAGCTCCTGTTTCTATTTGTGGCTGTTAATGGTTAGAATCAGGTTTGAAAACATTTTCTCAGATATATTGGAAACATTTGTGTTAAAATGACTGAAAGGTGCTTCACTGTCACTTTATACAGTTGCTGATTAAATTCTATTTGATTTTGATTTGATTTTAGCTTCTACCAACAGTGTTAGCTCTAGCTAATATATTAAAATGTAGATCACATGCTTATCATATTTGTTTGTTTCAAGATATATATCCTGTGTAACTCCTCATGAAACCTTTGAGGCAGTGTATGTTGTTTAAATTAACACCAGTCAAATGCAATATGATAGAAAACACCTCAGGTAATATTAACACTCCTGTGTTTACTCTGTATGCTCCAGTTCAGTTAACCCATGGACAGAGTCAGTGCGCGATATATATATATATATATATATATATATATATATATATATTTATATATATATATATATATATATATATATGTATTTTCATATTCTATATTTTTTTTTACAATTATAAGTTACAATCTATTACAAAGGAGATTTTTGAAGTTAATAGTAAAATGACAGCAATGACAGCAATGCCTTAAAAGTTAAGAAGAAATTGTAGGGTTTATCATTGTATATGAGAAATTTACTCATTCTATATTTTTCTGCTGCTGCATCTCTTTCAATATATTCTAATTTTCTCTGTTTTCGTAGAGCATTATAGAGCCCAGTGCAGGAAAACAACAATACATTTTAAAGTGCATTTACATGCAGCCAAACAAAAAGGAAGCAACGACATGAAAGCAAAGCATTGGAGTCCCTGCTGACTGACTCTGTCCATGGTGCTGAAAGTTCAGGCTGTCCTTAGATTCACCACCCTCTCAGTCATTGTGTGTGTTTTAGTGTGCGTGTTTTCCACATTGGCCATATATAAGACTGTCTGCTCTTTTGGTTTGTTTTATTCCATTAAATCCATTTGTCTTAATTCTGCCAGAGAGTAGAAAAGGAAGTGAGAGAGAGGATTAAAATCAAGGACAGGCCACCATTCACTCGACGGGACCTGCTCCTTTGTTCTGCATCCACAATGAATCGTAGCGATGTTCCAATGTCTGGTTGGTGCTGTGCAAGCTTTACCACATTCTTTTACAACCTATATCTCCAATGACTCTAAGTCTAGGGGCACTTATGATTTCTTAAAAAAAAAAACAAGAACAAACCCAAATAAAAGGTTAGTAATAACAGACACTGGAGATAATTCTACATTATAGCTGTTAAAGTTCTTTAGTTTTTTTCTCTCTGTTTTTTTCTCTTATTGTATTCTTTATGAATGCACATTCTGGTATTCTTTGATCTCTTGCCACATTTTTTTTTAAATTACATCTAAGCTGTTCAGTGTTTCTCTGCATGTTGTTTCTTAGCCTGCTTCTCTGGCTTTATCTCTTTGTCTCTCCAAAGGAATGTGGCGGATTGAGGGATCTGTCCAAGCTCTGAGACCAGTTAAAGCCCCCAGTAGGAGTCATTCTGCATCTCTCTGAGTCATTATGGAGTGCACCGACATGTTAATCTGATCCAACCAGCCCTATTAATGAAAACTCAATACTCGCTGCCCTTTATTAGATTCATAATGAAATATCAATACCATCTCGCCTCATCCACTGCCTCAGTAAACAGAACCCCCCTCACTAAATGTGTCTCTCTGCAGACTCATTGAGACCCAGTCATATGCATCAGTCATGAAATAGCAGCAGATGGTTATGAGAAACTAGCAGGCTGGAGCTTTGATGGATGCATCATCCTCAGGGCAGGTAAAGAGCCAGTAGGTGGTGCTCTCACACAGTTGGGGGAGGGGGGCATGTTGCTGGTGCATGCCATCCTGCAGGGTTATATCACCCATCTGAGGGTAGTTATGAGTTTAAGGCCCCCCCTTTGCACACATATGCATCCATTA